ATACTACCGGGACTCTTCCAGGATCAAATATTATTGGAGAAAATGAAATAGTGATTGGCTTTCTGGATCCGGAAAATCAGCTCCACGCTGCTAGCCAAGCAATATGGCGGATCAACACACGTGTTATATCGAAGGTGAAAAGGTCGAAATCATCAACCCCCTTTTACAGTAACTCCGTTTCAAGCTTTCATCAGGTACTAAAACTGATACATGACATAGAAGTGAATCCAGGTCCACAGTCTTCATGTGCCAAACGACGGAGGAAGAAAACTAATGTCACCATAGCCCACTTGAATGTACGCTCCCTGAAGTCGCGCGAAAACTTTCACTTGGTCGCCCAAACAATCACAGAAAGTAAATATGACATATTTACGATATCCGAATCCTGGCTGGACCCCTCTACGTGCAATGCAGACATCAACATCCCTGGATATCTGTTGTTTAGACAGGACCGTGGAGCGCATAAAATCGGCGGTGGACTAGTCGTTTATGTCAAAGATAACTACAAAGCTTCCACCATAGAGCATATATCAACAGTATCCGAAACGAACTTCCAACAACTCTGGCTAAAATTACAATGCAAGAAATTTAAATCATTTGTGCTATGCACAGTCTACAGGCCTCCTAGTACACCGATCAGCTTCCTCGAAGACTTGACCACAACTTTCATAGACTCCCAACTACTGGGACTTGACACAATAATAATTGGAGATACAAATACGAACATGCTGGGAGACTGCCCCGATGGCCGTGCTTTAACTAACTTCTGTTCTACTTTCAATTTACTTCAACTTGTAAAGGAACCCACAAGAATCACTGACACATCACAAACTTTAATAGATGTAGYCCTGACAACTAACAAGAACATTATTGATGTTTGCGAAGTCAAAACCTCAACAATTAGCGATCATAACTTAATATTGTTGACTCTCACATTGAAGGCACCAAAACCACGGGCTTCATATATCACGACAAGAAGCTACAAAAATTACAATCCAMATAAATTCGTCCAAGACTTGGCTAAGGTTCCTTTTCATGTTGTTAATATTTTCGACGATTTTGATGACCAAATTGATTCATTCAATTGCTTATTCTCTGGGGTTCTCAATGAACATGCACCTATTAAGGKGACAAAAATAAAATCAAGACCAAACCCCTACATTACACCTGAAATACGTCAGCTCATGAAAACACGCAATCAATGGCACAAAAGTGCAATCAAGACAAAGGATAAACTACACTGGAATGCATACCGCTTCTTTAGACAGGAAGTCAAGCGGGAAATCCGTATCGCCAAAAAACAACATGTAYGTTCCGAACTTCAAAAGAGTAAAGGAAATACAAACTCAATTTGGAAGGTTATAAATCGCTGCCTTCCCAGAGAAAGRCCCCTTTTGGCTTCAACTGAAGACCCTGCCATCCAGGCTAACAAGTTCAACGAGTACTACACCACTGTTGGCCAGTCTACAGCTGCCAAAGCGAAAGCTCTCTCAAAAGAACATAATCTTGGTGTCCCCGATACACTGCCTATACCTGCTTTAAACTTCAGTATCAACCTTACTTCACAGTTTGACTTCAGACCAGTTAAAGAAGAAGACGTTTTGAATATCATCACCGCTATGCCCTCAAATAAAGCTCCAGGAATAGACAGAATATCCGCAAGAGTCCTGAAAGACAGCTTACCAGCGATGCTTCCAGTAATTACCACCTTAATCAACAATTCGTTCAATACAAGTACTTTTCCACAGTCGTRGAAACTAGCCGAAGTTATTCCTTGTCCAAAATCTGAAGACTCAGATGATCCATCCAAAACGCGCCCAATATCTTTACTACCAATCATGTCTAAAGTCTGTGAAAGAGCCGCACACTCACAACTCACCGAGTTCTTAGAAGAAAACCAAATAATATCCCATCTTCAGAGTGGCAACAGAAAACACCATTCCACTGAAACTGCCCTCCTCTACTTTACAGATGAAATTTTAAAAAACATGGATGATAAAAAGGTGTCAATTATTGCACTACTAGACATGTCAAAAGCCTTTGATAGTATTCGACACGACATTCTCCTGTCAAAGCTTCAAAGTATGGGAACTTCTAACACTGCTATGGCATGGTTTGAGAGCTACTTGTCCCATCGGAAACAAGTGGTGAGGATAGACAATACTTTATCTGACGCTCGCTCTCTTATCTTTGGCGTAYCTCAAGGGACAATTCTCTCACCAGTTCTGTTTACTCTATATGTCAATGAGCTTCTATCTATCCCAAAGCATTGTCAAGTAATGAGTTATGTCGAC